TGTATTCAAAGCAAACAATGATGAAAAATAGAGCTTTAAAGAAATTGCCCTGGAACAGTTGGATTGCTATCATACATGAAGTTCTGCTTTGATTTTGATCTTATACCAGAAGCAATAAAATAACTCACAATGAATCACCAAGACTTGGTTTAAAGATTTAATTAAATTAAATTAAAAGGCCCTCCCGTTGATCGTCGATTTGCTTGAGCGGGCCCAGTAACGTCTCCATTGGAGACTCTGTTGTTACTGTGTTTGGCATATTGAATACTCTCGGTAGCTTGCCGGGCTCTCCGAGAGGGGCAAGGAATCGAACTCGGGTCGGCCATGTTGGCCGCTTGTAAAGCGAACGCCCTACCCGCTGTGCTATCGCTCACACTGTAAAATTTCTACATCTAACCTCATTTTAAAATTTTTTATAAATATTTTATAAATATAAAACATAAAAGAAAAAACTTGCCAATTGAACTTAACTTAGCTAAAAATTTGATCTTCAAAGGCACTGCTATGAAAATAGAACGGCAAATACAAAGACGTGTATGGGAGAAATATAAAAAGCTTACAAAAATTTATCAATTTTTGGACTCCAGCATACTTAAATATTGTCAATTTAAGAAAATAGCTTTATTGTTTGTATACAGTATTTGAAATGATCAGATATTTCAGGTGGAAGATATTTCTTTTTAAATATTTTAAGTCTAGAGTTTTATTTCTTAAATTTACATGTTGTCTTAGGAAAGTTGTTGAAACTTCATCCATGTAATAACAAGGCATTTTAATCAGAAAATCATATTATAGTCGGATAGTATACAAATATTACAGAAAGAAATTATTAACCATGATAACCATGTATTTCAGGAAAATATAAGTAAAGAATGAAATTATTATTTAAAATAATACTTATTTTTGACTAAAATTATTGAAATTATTATTCAATTTAATTTGCATGACCAATACTGTTTTTGTTCTTACTTTCTAAAACTTATTATTAGTGATAACAACAAACTGAAAATAAGCTGTAATTATCATAAGTGTCTAACACAATAATTAAGATTATAAATCATTCCACTGAAGAGACAACTATTTTTACCCCATTTAATTGCAAATGTAACTGTGTAGTAGAGTAAGGTATCCAAAGTTCAGATCCAGTAGTCTTCCATACTGGTTACACTGTTTGTTTTAAATCAATTGTTTGTAGACAATAAGTAAATAATGGAGTTAGACCACATTCAAAGGTGTGTGAGATATATTTGTTTTCATATATGCCAAGTAGAGATTACATACATATCTTAATCTCACTTCTGACTTTTACTTACACGCAGTACAATTTTTAATCATGTTCCTTGAATTTATCTCTTTTTAGAGTAGGATATAGAAGTTTGTGAGCTGTCTCTGAGGATTTAGTCCCAGAGCTCTGCGTAAGGCTGGAAATAATATGGAGTGTGTTCTCAGAAATAGCCTTTAAGTGTTAGAAGATTCATATAAATATGACTGCATTCACTGCTCAGAAAGAGAGTAAGTTCTGTGCTGCTTGAAGCTGTGTGTCTTGATTTCTACAAATGAAATATGTGAATCAGTTGCTAACTTATTAGTAATAATTGCGGTAGTAAAAGGAAAGATTGAGAAATGAGTTGTTAGACCTATTTGTGCATACAGAGAAAAATATATATGTTTATACATGGTGGTAAATTATTTTTGAAATATCTTAGAAAGATCTTGGCATTTACTAGTAACCTGGCAAGTGCAATGGATGAAACACGTTTCTATGACTATAGAAAAGAATGAGACTAGTGGATACCTAGAACTGAAAGTAAGTTTCTAAAGTTGCTCTAAAATAAGATGCAAGAATTCTACAGCCTTGACCTTGAACATTAGCTTTCTAGCTAACAATGGTCTTTAATTGGCCATTCATCCATAAAACACATATTAGGGTCCACACATCTGGAAGGAAACACAGCTGTTTTGTAAATTGAACTCAGAAAGAAAGACAGAGATTTTATTTTTCACCTTGGTGACTCTTTTAACTTGGAAAGAACAGAACTAAAAGTAATAAGGTAAGGGACAGAGAGATGGTTCAGTGGGTAAGATTTTTGCCTAACTGACCAGGGCTCAATCCTTAGCATCCTATATGGTCCCCTGAACACTGCCAGGAATGATTCATGAGCCAAGAGGCAGGAGTAACCCCTGACCACTGTAGGATGTAGCTCAAAAACAAAAACAACAAAAAATATCTAAGTCTTGATAAGAATTTTAAAAAGAAAGAAGGATTTGTATGACACTTTTTAGTACAACTGCTGTACTACATACCTCACGGTAAGTTTCTTTATCTTATTCTAAGTGATTTGATGGATTTTGACGATTTTAATTTACCTAAAGTTTTGTGATTTTGTTTCATTTTTAGTTTGGGGGCCATACCTGGTGGTGCTCAAGGCTTACTCCTGTATCTGAGCTCAGGGATCACTCTTGATGGGGCTCAGGTGATCATAAAAGGTGGGCTGTACAAATGGCAGATACCCTACCCACTGTAGTATTATATATAAAGGCTTCAGCCCCTTTGTATCATTGCAAAGAGTTGATTATTCATTAAAGTACTACTGTCTGAGATAACTATAAAAGAAGTACATTAGTATCCAACCCATACCAGAATTTTAGTGTTGCTACCCATAATTCCAGAGTCTTGAATTGGCAAGAAGAACAATCAGATAAGCATTGGCACCTTATTAGTTTTAAAATTGACAGGCACTTTGAGACTACTTTTGTGCTGTATACAGTTAATTTAAGTTTAAAAATGGAAACAGACAGTATTCTATCTTCCTTTAACAAATGATACTCTGCACAATCTGCAAATCATGAGTTGTGGCTACTTTTGCTCCTGTTTGGACAAATTAAGAGGCCAATGCTTGCCTTATGAGTGAATCTCATAGTATATTCGGTACCTGTGAGAACTTTCTGAGCTCAGATTAAAACTTTTACACGTATGCCACTATATCAGTGAATTACGAAGGGTCAGAAGAACTCAGGTTTTTATTATATCATACTTCTAGACTTATTAATTATTATACTTAATTGCTTTAATAAATATGTGACTGTTTATATATTAATTTTCCTGTGTATTGTTCATATTTCTAGCACCCCTCACTAGAAAGTTAATTTCCCAGGGTATACCATAAACCTCTTTTAAAATGAGTGACTTACTCTTATTGAACTTGTAAGCCTTGGGGCTGGAGCAATAGCACAGCGGGTAGGGCATTTGCCTTGCACGCGGCTAACCCAGGTTCGATTCCCAGCATCCCATATGGTCCCCTGAGCATTGCCAGGTGATTCCTGAGTGCATGAACCAGGAGTAACTCCTATGCATCACCAGGTGTGACCCAAAAAAGCAAAAAAGAAAAAAAACTTTTAAGCCTTCATGTTTGGAATTAAAATTCAATCACCAAGTAGAAAATTAAATTTCCCCTGGCCTGACTTCTAAAAATGGACATCAGGATGACTGAATAACAGCTTTCTCATGTAGTCAATATGGGATTAACTCTGTGCTGAAACCAGTTGACAGAGCAAATTTTCCCTTTGACTCTTCTTTTTTCATTCATTCATTCACTCACTCATTCATTTATTCATTCTCTCTTATGCCTCACCCTAATTTCATTTTTCCCTTACAGGAAAATCTCGTTTTCTTTGACCATTGACAGAATGATGCACCACAACACTAGCAGTTTTCACCCAACCACATTTTTCCTTACTGGAATCCCAGGTCTGGAAGAGGTCCATCCTTGGATTTCCCTGCCATTCTGCTCTGTTTATCTCGTGGCTTTACTGGGCAATGCCACAATTCTGATGGTCATCAAGATAGAGCAAAGCCTCCGGGAGCCCATGTTCTATTTTCTGGCCATCCTTTCAACAATAGATTTAGCTCTTTCTACAACCTCGGTCCCCCGCATGCTGGGTATTTTCTGGTTTGATGCTCATGAGATTTACTTTGGAGCTTGTGTGGCTCAGATGTTTTTCATCCATACTTTCACTGGTATGGAAGCAGAGGTCTTACTAGCCATGGCCTTTGATAGATATGTGGCCATCTGTGCACCGCTCCACTACACAACCATCCTGACATCACGTGTGCTGATAGGCATCAGTATGTTCATTATCATTCGCCCAGTCCTGTTCATGCTTCCCATGGTCTATCTTGTCTATCGTCTACCGTTTTGTCAGGCTCATATAATAGCTCATTCCTACTGTGAGCACATGGGCATTGCAAAACTGTCATGTGGAAACATCCGTGTCAATGCTATCTATGGGCTTTTTGTGGTTTCTCTTTTCCTTCTGAATCTGACCCTGATTGGCATCTCGTATGCTTACATTCTCCGTGCTGTCTTTCGCCTCCCAACTCAAGACGCAAGGCTAAAATCCCTTAGCACGTGTGGTTCCCATGTTGCGGTGCTCTGTGTTTTCTATATTCCCTCTGTCTTCTCTTTTCTCACCCACCGGTTTGGACACCACATTCCTCGCTATGTTCACATTCTGGTTGCCAATCTCTATTTGGTTATCCCACCTTCACTCAACCCCATCATTTATGGTGTAAGGACCAAACAGATAAGAGAAAGAGTGCTTCATGCATTTATTAAAAAATAGTACTTCTATCTTGTTCTTTTTTATAGAAGTGTTACTCTATCCAAAAAGATGTGTGTATTCGTGCCTTAATAACTATCACTTATTGTTAATCTATTGCTGACAGAATTCAATACAGGTGATTTATTATTACTTTCTCTAATGAATTTTAAAGTCTTGGATCTCAAATCAAAGGTGCATATGATCTCTTGGAATGGAGCTGAAGGTTTTTAATTACAAATTTTCAGGCACCTTTGGTAGCAAATATCTGTTTCTGTTCTGTGGATGAGCACATTATATCCTTTCATAATAGAAAGATTAGACTGGAAGTCTGACATTGTGTCCTGCTTTCATTTCATTGTTTATTGACATGTTTGACACATTATTCATTTATTTTATACTTAGCATATGATTTGAATCACTCTACTTCCTAGGGATAAATCAATAGAACAAAGGACCACAAATTTTGAACTTGTGAGATTCGCATTTTATTATGCTTTTGAAACAACAAAAGCACCAGGTTAATGGATTCATAAAGCTTACCACCAAATCTGAGGATTGATGTAAAATGTTTGCCAAATTAGTAAGATTCAATGGAATGATATCTAAGACAAAATATATTTTTAGAACTTTTAATTAACACCAACAACACTATATCACTGACTGTCTCTTTGCTTGAAGGTGTATAGTACAAACATGAGTGTGACCTTGCACACACTGTAGTACTGTCCTCCCATTGTTCATCAATTTGCTCGAGCGCGCACCAGTAATATCTCACAACATATTGTGAGACTTGTTGTTACTGTTATTGGCAAATCAAATATGTCATGAGGAGCTTGCCAGGCTTTGCCGTGCGGGTGAGATACTCTCTGTAGCTTGCCGGGCTCTCCAAGAGGGGCGGAGGAATCGAACACGGGTCGGCTGCATGCAAGGCAAATGCCCTACCCGCTATGTGAGATACACTGACTTTTTTTTAACCTATTCCTTTAATCAACTTTGTTCTTTCAATCCATTTGATCCTAAATGATTCCATTTCCAAATCCAAAGTTCCTAATTTTATATTGCTTAAACCATATCTAATTTTCCATTAATTTCAATGTATAAGCTTCACTTTGAACTATGAACTGTTTCATATATAACTAATGGCTTTCTGTTGATTCAATATTAAGACTTTGCAAAAGCAAACTATGGCATTTGGTATTATGCATCTTGTATGTTACTTTATTGATAAACAATTTTCTACTTTTTTTCAGAAATTTAATGAGATGCTAAAGAAAACATAAAACAAGTATTTCTGCTCTAACAAGTTATAGAGACCTTTTAATATTTCAGTTTTATTATGATACATGCTTTATAAAATATATGCAGATAAAATTGGATTGACTTTTAATACCACCTATTTTATCTTTTATTTTCCAAAGACAAACTATATGTTTTTTTCTGATAACACAATATGAAGATTATTGGGTTTATAAATAATATCAGTATTATCATCATTTATATATATCTTGATAAGTTTTGTTTTATAGCTATTTAACATATATTAGCCTATTAATACAGTTACAGTAATTCAAAATTAGAAAATCTGCCAGATATTCTCACTTTTGTTTTTTTTTTTTGCTTTTTGGGTCACACCCGGATTACTCAGGGGTTACTCCTGGCTCTGCACTCAGGAATTACTCCTGGTGGTGCTTAGGGGACCATATGGGATGCTGAGAATCAAACCCAGGTCGGCCGCGTGCAAGGCGAATGCCCTACCCGCTGTGCTATCGCTCCAGCCCAGATATTCTCACTTTTTAAAACAGATTAATTTGAAGTAGAATGACTGAATAGAAACGCATTAATCAACTGAAAAATGTGTTGACCTCATTCATATTTTGTTTTCATCATATTTTCTGTATGTATGTGGTTGTTTATTCCAAACAAACAAATATTGATAAGTGTCCTACTTATAAGTAAGCCCTAAGCACATTCAACTATGTTTAGGGCTTACTCCTGACTCTGTGCTCAGGGATTACTCCTTGTTGTACCTGGGAACCATACGTTGTGTCCGGTATTAAACATAGGTAGGTAATGTGCAATGTGAGTACCCAACTTCTCTGGTCCCTCTTAACATTTTAAATTTTTATATAATCTATTTTAAATCTACTTACTTTACATATTTTATTTTGGTTCCTAAAATTGTTAAAATATGAGATTTCAAAATAAACTAGCTTTTAACTACTCTAGTCTGAGCAAATTAGAAATTATAATTCTCCTTTGCCTTCATGTGTTCTACTTGTACATCTGTACTATCTGTTTGCATAATCAAGAGATGTGTATCTTATTGAAATATTTAATAAAATACTTTTAAAGTACATTATTTTGTAGATTTATGTTCATTTCTATTTTACATGTATATTTGCTCTCAATAAGATAACTTTCATAGGGAATATCTAATTACTTCCAAGGATTCCCTGTAACTAAACACTTTACCACTGTCATCCCATTGTTCATTGATTTACTCGAGTGGGTGCCAGTAACGTCTCCATCTGTCCTAGCCCTGAGATTTTAGCAGCCTCTCCCTACTCGTCTTTCCCAACAAAACCACCATGTTGGAGGCTCTTTCAGTTTCAGGAGAATGAGACTCGTTATTGTTACTGTTTTTGGCAAATCAAATACACCACGGGTAACTTGCCAGGCTCTGGTGTGTGGGTGGGATACTCTTGGTAACTTGCTGGGCTCTCTAAGAGGCATATATATATATATATATATATATATATATATATATATTTCCCTGTATGATTTGTTACTTACTGTCTGAACCCCATCAAATATGGTGTGGTAATTATGAAAAATGGGTAGGGAGTGTCTTATGATGTGTTGCACGGCCACTAAACACAATGCACATAATTTGTTAATAGATATATTTCTGTGTTTAAATATATGCTCTCTGCCCTTTCATATTTAAATTTAGTATGTAACATAATGTAATTTTAGTGCACAGTTTGATTAACCAACTTTTTCTTTAATGTGTGTTCATGTTTGTGGCACATGTAGTGAGTGTGTGTGTGTGAGTGTGTGTGTGTGTTCCTTGAAGTGCTCAGGACCTGAAGCTGAAAAAACCTTCAGATTCAGTGTTCTTTCCTGCCAAAAGGGTGCTACTGGTTCGCAGTCATGACCAAGAACATCTAGGACCAGACCCTGTAAAGTTACATGTGGGGTATGTGGTGGGAGGCTGCATCTTGCATCTTTCATGCACCTTTAAGTGATCTTCATCTGCTTAACATTTTATTTTGTTTTGTTTTGGACCCACCCTCATCTGTGTTTAGAACTTAGTAAATAATAAGCAATTCATTATTTATTTATTTAAAGTGATATATTATTCTGAAAAACTAAGAGCAATTTTAATAGACAAAATTACAGTTATAGTAAGTGTACATTTACTTGGTAGTATATGAATATTAAAATTGTTTCATATTTAAATTATTTGATATTCATGAATATAAACAAATTTTATAATCAAGATATTAGAAGATAAAAAAGATATTTCATGATTTGTGCTTGCGTTTTAATTTTAAACTGAAAAATTAGGGGAAATAGTCTGCTCATCATTTTATTCCAAATACCTGGAGCTTATGAAAGTATACACTGAAAAAAAATTACTTTTGAAAAAAATAACATGAATTTCATCATATCTAGTACCCATGATGCATACAAATTTTTTATATAAAATATCAGGCATGTATATAGAAAATAAAATATGGCATAAAATTTTAGATAAAATCATAGAAAACAATAGAAAACAGCAAATTCTTTTGGATTATAGTCAAAGAAATGGGTAATTTAAACATTTAAATATAGAAGAGAGTGAACAGAGGAACATATTTTAAACAATTTTATGAATCTTTCATTGACTTAAATTTCATACAAGTATATATTAGCATTCATTACTAATGTCCTACTTTTTCTACTACTTGCTTGTGTAGTAATATTTTCTTCACACTAGTATATATCTGTTTAGTTCTGACTCCATATATGACAGGGTTAAGCATTGGTGGCACTACAACATAAAGATTAGCCAGGAGAATGTGAATATAGCGGGGAACATTTCGGCCAAAACGGTGTGTCATAAATGAAAAGAGGGCTGGTGTGTAGAAGGCAAGGATCACACATACATGTGATCCACATGTGCTAAGGGACTTGAGTCGAGCTTCCCGAGAAGGAAGACGGAATACAGCACGGAGGATTTTGACATAAGACAGGGCAATTGCTACAATGTCGAACAAAAGATTACAAATTGCACATAAGCCATAGATAATATTTATCTTGATACTGGCACAAGAGAGTCTAGCAAGACCCATGTGTTCACAGTAGGTATGGGGAATGACATGATTCCCACAGAAAGGCAACCTCAAAATCAGAAATACAAATGGAGTGGTAAAAATGAATGCCCTCACTGATACAGCAAGACCAATTAGAGAAACAATCTTATTGGTGAGAATGGTGCTGTACCGAAGTGGATTGCAGATGGCCACATAGCGGTCATAAGCCATTGCCAAGAGGACTGCTGATTCCATGAGTGTGAATTTGTGAATGAAAAACATCTGGGTAAGGCAGGCTTCGAAGAATATCTCTCTGAGGTTGAACCAGAAGATCCCAAGCATCTTAGGGATGGTAGCTGTGGAGAGACCCAAGTCAATGCTAGCCAACATAGCCAGAAAGTAAAACATTGGTTGATGTAGGCTGCTCTCAGCTTGAATTACATATATAATAGTGAGGTTTCCAAAGAGTGCAATCAGGTACACAACACAAAAGGGTAGGCCAATCCAGATGTGAAATGCTTCCAATCCTGGAATTCCCAGCAACAAAAAGAAGACGTGGTACTGCGTATCATTGGAAAGTGACATCCTGTTTGGAAATGCATAAGTCTTCAGAAATACAACCTGTCTATAGTTTTCTGTAACTTTGGAGACCTGAACATGTATGAACAAAAATTAGCAAAATATTAACAAAGATTTTTTTTAACTTACCAGTAAAAATATATGAAACAGTTACTCAGTTAATGGGGAGTATTTTTCAGAAACAATTGTATATTTTCTTGCTAGATGCAATAGTAACCAACCTCTTTTTTTAATAAGGGAAAGGACAGATACTATATTCTGTGATTGCAAATAAAGTAAATAAAAATGAGGTATTCTTTGTCATTCAATGATATATGATTCTGAAGGTAAATATTACAAAGCATTTTTTTTTAGAAAAAAGCCATGTAGACAAATGATGGAAGACAAATATAGACAAATAACATGATAAAATTGTAGTAGATTAGGGAATAAAGATAACAAGCATGTAATTTATCATGCATATAAAACTTATATTTCTGTGGTTATTTAAACATTTTTAGATAATTATTGAAAATATATTTCATAAGATTCCAAGGATAACATAGTGACTACTAAAATATGATGGTTGAAAGTAGTTGTATGAATAATTCTTATACCTATTGACGTAGCCTTTACTGATTCCAAAAATTTCAGTGGAACAAAGCTAAAGTTAGGGGGATGTTTTTAATCCTTCTGATTCATGTAATTCACTCCAATTCAATACATTTCAGAGAATAGCAAAATTTCACTTTTTCTCATAACTGCAGTATTTCATTATGCATGTATATAAATCATTTTGTCCACATAAGGGCTATAATGAAACAAAGCAAGGGAATAGGTAATAAGCAAGGAAACAAACCTTCAGATAGTTCTGACAGAACAGTGAACTCAAGCTACAAGGAGATGGAGGGGTGGGGCAGAAGGGACCTTGGGAAAGTGATGTTGTATTATGGATGCATGTATTGTAGAAGTCTGAAAGTAACATTGAAAATATAAAATACCTGGGCAGCACCACAACCTGGCCAGTACATAAGTGGATGGACATGGAGAGTATCATGCTAAGTGAAATGAGTCAGAAAGAGAGGGACAGGCACAGAAGGACTGCACTCATTTGTGGAACATAAAATAACATAATATGAAACTAACACCCATGACAGTAGATACAAGAAATATTGTCCCCTTATGAGCTGGGAAAGAAGGCAGCTGGAATAGAGAAGGGATCACTAAGATGATGATGGTTGAAGGAATCATTCGGGGTGGGAGATGTGTGCTGAAAGATAAAGGACCAAATTTAATAACCTCTCAGTATCTGTATTGCAAACCATAATGCCAAAAGTATAGAGTATAGAGGAAATTGTCTTCTATGGAGGCATTGGGAGGGTTGGAAAGGAGGGGTATACTGGGGACATTGGTGGTGAAGAATGTGCACTGGTGGAATGATGGGTGTTTGATCACTGTTTGATTGAAACTCAAACATGAAACCTTTGTAATTGTATCTCATGGTGATCCAAAAAAAAAAGGAAATATAAAATAATGCTGTAGAAACTGCTGAAAAACATTATCTCAATAAAGTACATTCACATTTCTCCCGTTGTTCATCGATTTGCTCGAGCAGGCCCAGTAACGTCTCCATCGTGAGACTTGTTGTTTCTGTGTTTGGCATATCGAATACGTGGGCTGGAGCGATAGCACAGCAGTAGGGCGTTTGCCTTGCACGCAGCCAATATGGCCGACCCGAGTTCGATTCCTCTGCCCCGCTCGGAGAGCCCGGCAAGCTACTGAGAGTATCTCGCCCACACGGCAGAGCCTGGCAAGCTACCCGTGACGTATTTGAAAGTACATTATAATGAATAAATATTGCACTCTTTAATATTATCCTTTAGGTATTATTCTGGTATTCTATATCCAGGTAAAGGTAAAGGTAAAGGCCCTCCCGTTGTTCATTGATTTGCTCGAGCGGGCCCAGTAACGTCTCCATTGGAGACTTTGTTGTTACTGTGTCTGGCATATCGAATACATCACGGGTGGCTTGCCAGGCTCTGCCGTGAGGGCGAGATACTCTCGGTAGCTTGCCGGGCTCTCTGAGAGGGGCGGAGGAATTGAACTCGGGTCGGTCATGTTGGCTGCGTGCAAGGCAAACGCCCTACCGTTGTGAAAAATATATCTATAACACTAGCAGTCATATTTTCACTAATTAACAATTTAACAGCAGTTATAGGCTATTTAGATAGATTTCATAATTATTTTTGGAATTAAATAATTTTATTATAATTTATACATGTACAGAGTACTGTTTAAAATTATTTTCACAGAATAATCAATACTTCTACTAATTTAGAGAAATGAAGTTTTAAATAAACATGTAAACCTTGTTCAGCATTGTGCATTGTTAATTATCCTGTTATGAATTTTGTATGTATTTTGAATTTTTGACTTTATAATTTTCACATGCATAAAAACACAGTCTAAAGTGTTCAATATATTTTATTTTGTTTAATTTGGCCACATTTTGATTATTTGTCATATTTTAATTTTTTATTGTTTAAATGAATGCTAATTGTTTTTTACTTTCCAGAAGGATGTGTTAAAAGAATGAATTTTAGTACTCCTTATTCTTACCTTTTAAATCAAGGATATGTAAAATCTTAGTTTTGGACTATCTTCAATTTTCACTCCTAGAATGAAATTCATTTGATGCTGTTGCTGATTATCCTGATATTTCATCCTTAATATCTTTGTATTTCAACTGGAGAAACTATCAGTGTTATGTTCAAGGACCTAAGGAACAAAAACTTTAAAATGGCAATACAAAGTGTTTTTAAACAAATTTTAAAAGTAACTCTATAAGAAATAAGGCATTACATCCCTTTGTATTCTTAATGTATCACAAAGGGTTAAAATGATGATAGATTTTGTTTTTCTCTATATGACTTATTCATAAGACAAAGTTAATAGTCACCAGAAAGAATAAAAACTGGGTAAATCTGGTAAAATGGAAAACTACATGTTGAAGGATAAATTTTTAGAGGTGATCATATTATATATGAATGTAATATATATACACATATTAAATTACAATTATACATACTTCAAACTTGTGTTATCACACAATGTGACTTCAACGAATATGACATAATTGCGATCCGCATCCACTTATGAAATTTCCAAATGAATTATCTAGATGCGATCTTTTCTGCATTCATACAAAATGTACTATCATCCTATACAAAAACATTATTATAGACACTTTTCACTTTTATGTTTGCACCTAATTAAAAATAGAAACCATTTTACCAAATATTTTTAACGGTGTAAATAATAAACTACATTACTGATATATGATTGAATACTATCTGGATTTCCCTCTACTAATTATCTAGATGTGTCCTAATAAATTTAGCCATAAATTGGAATTTCGTAAGTCAAAAATTCTGAGTGGTAGCTATAGTAAAAATATATGTATGCATTTGACAACATTGATGTAATAACAACAAGTCTCACAATTTGTTGTGAGACGTTACTGGTGCAATTTGATGACCAATGGGAGGACAGTGCTAGTGCTAGATGCAATGAAAGAGAGCTTTATGTTAAGCAAAGGAATCATAGGGCTGAGACATTGAAGTTACATATATATTTAAGGTATATGTAGTTTGTGGATACAGTATCTCAGTATAGTAGATCTTGGCTTTATTCCTTGATCCCACTAATCCCCAGGCTCCTGAGAACCACTGGAATGGCTCAGGTAATTCCTTACATTGCAGAACCCAAGCAACACTTTAGCCATGGGCTGAGCATTGAATCACAAGCCTGCCAAGTGGGGACCTAGGACCTTCTGAGCTTTACCTGCAGGTGCAAATTGAAAAAAATACACAAAGAGAAAGGTAAATAATAGATGATAACTAGGATATAAACAAACAAAGCAAGGTAATAGACAAAGCCAAGCCAACCACCCCCCCCAAAAAAAAAACAACAAAAAACCCTGAATTCTGAGTAGGAGAGGAGATAAAGCGTTGGAGTGAGTACAATGGAAATCAGTGCTGAGAAATCAGTATTCTGGCTGTGGCTGTATTGTTGTAATACACACTTGAAAAGCAGTGTTGATTTTCTTTCTAGAAAAATAATGTCAATGATTCAAACCATTCTTGAAAAAAATTAGTCACCATCATTTACAATTATACAATGCTGTTAATGATAAAATATGAACACAACATTTCAATACTACACCCTATGCCAGAGTGTCTGTTTTCCTCCACCATTGTCTCAGGGACCCTCCTTCTCTTCCTCCTCCCCACTTCAGTATCCCCCTGAACCCATATGTCAGTACCATAGTAAGCCTAGTTCTTAGATTCTGTTCCTTTTGGTATTTTGTTTTTCTTCCACTATGTTTATTTATATACCACATATGAGAAGATATTCTTTATCAGTTTTAGGGTTAATTTCAACATAGTGTTTTCTAACATTCAAAAGTATGAGTTCCACAATCTAATTAATGGTATTGAAAATTAGTTTCTAAATGTATTCACACTAAACAAAAAGGAAAGCGAATAAGAATATTACTTAGCAGTGTAAGCTTGTACAGGAACTGCAGCATCTTTATATCTCAATTTCTTTATCTAGAAAATAGAAATAATTCACAGACTCTTAAATTACTAAATTTAGAACAAATAGATATTTTTAAAATATATTTAGTCTTGTTTTAAACATACAATTTATGGAACAATCTTTAAATATTTTTCTGACCAATATTTTCAAATGCACAAAATCAAATTGGTTAAATCCAAATAATTTTGTTTTTGGTTTTGCTTTTTTTGCCTTTGTTAAAGGATCAAAATAACCAGTGATACTGACGAGTTACCATTGGCTCTATGCTCTGCTTCATATAAGACAAGCACCTTAGCTCTACCTTTTTGACTTTAAAATCATATGATTTTATGGTGTTTCATAGCATAAGTATATTATTTCTTTAAACTCACCATGTGTCTTCTTTATACCAAATATATCTTGTATTTTTTGTCTCTCTTCCTACC